AATTAGAAAGGTTTTAAAAGACTTAGAAAATTTTAGGGGTAAATCTATAATTTTGTGAAAGTTAGGGGACCAAATCGATAATTATGAAAAAGTTATGGGTTGTCGCATAATTGTTCAGTAATTATTGTACTATGTTGTAAATTTCTATATGAGGACTAAAATTGAAGTTAGAATGTGAAATTTAGCCATTTTGGAAAGTTGACAAAGTTCGAGAGCTAAATGTTAAACATTAAGAAAGATAGTGGATTAAATGGTAAATATGGGATTATTGATATATTTGGGATGAAAGTTTAATACTGGAAATTATTGGGCTTATTTGGGCCTTGAATTGAACAATTAATGACAAGAGCTCAATATGAATAAAAAGGGAAAATTAAGATGAATTTTTAGAATAATTCGAAATAATAGTACTTTTGGAGTATTATTATTAAGTATGAAATGTTAGTAAGAATACTACCATGTATTTTATATTTGTATATACTTTGTATGGATGCTTGTGTAGATCGAGATTGAACTCATGATATGAGCAAAACAAAAGGCAAGGAAAAAGTTAAAAAAATAATCTAATTTCGATAGTAAGGCATATTAGTGAGGCATACCAGGTGAGTGCATTTATTATGTACTTATATGATATGAGGATGACTTGTGATGAGTTAACCTCGAATGTTTTTATAATAGCATGTTTTACCGTATTTTGAAATATTTTCATAAAGTTTATGAAAATGATTTTGCGAATAATTTTAGGTTATGGATTGCCCTAAAATAGATGGATGAACTTTTAAATTGTTTTAACAGCTATCGATGTTTCAGAATAAATGTTTAATCTACAAATTTGATTTAAAGGCCTATTATATGTGCATTGAGAGTCATGGGTGCATTTTGACATACTTAGAGTATAATGGTTATCGATCGATTTTGTTTAATGCATATGTTGTATTTTCATATCAGTACCTTTGTGTACTTTCGACAATATGTGTGCAATCCTGGTATTCATAATGAGTTTGTGAATTACCATTTCGATATATTAGTGTAGTGTCCCTGTTACTACAATACCTATACTTTCATTTAACACTTATGTACAACTCATGTAGCTTGCATTCTCATTTGACATACATTGGGCTATGAATGAATACTTTTGAATATATCGATTGATAGGTATGTTAGGCATACTAAATATTTTTTTGCAGGTTATTTGACAGAAACTTGGCTTATCAAGTCAGATTTCATGCGTTTATGTATTTTATATGATTAGTCGTATTTTGATCTTATAATGGTTTACTCATGTTTTTAAAATGTCTTATTTATGTTATTATGCCTCACTAAGTGAATACTTAGCGTGTCATGATTTTCACGCGTAGGTTTAGTGTACGAATCAGAGTGAAGAGTGCAACTGATATCATCTATCAAGGATTGTCTCATCAGTAATAGTATGCCATCTATAGATGTTTATTTTGATATTACTAGTTGGCATGTACTTTGATATGTTGTGATGCTCTGGTAAGATACTTGGTTCTTGGTTGTAGTATTATATTATTTTCGAACTTAAACTATTGTTTGATGGATTTTAAACGTTATTATATATATAGGTATTTGAAGAACGTTTTCTAAGCTATATTATTAAATCATTTATTTAAAGAAACAAAATTTTATTGGTTTTTAAGTACGAAAATATTTTGAAAGTCATGTGACATCTGTGACTCATGTACGAGGACGTATATGAGAAATGGGTGTTACAAAACCAATCCACTTTTTCTTCTACTCCACCTTTTGTCATAGATAATGAATCAGACACTGACATTGATGAACATGATTCTAACGACATTGTAATGAAAGATATCAATCTTCATTCCTTGAAAAAAAGATGCACTTGAAAATCAAGTGATGACACATTTTGAGGAAGGTGGGGAAGCACAAAAAGAAATAGACAATAAAAAAGAGGCAAAAAAAGAGGTCACTAAGTACAAAAGCCAAAAGAATAATGATGCACGAGAGGTGAGCAAACCTATTATTGAGAGAAAAGAGTAATTGAAAATACATATGTGATCACAAATGAATTGAGAGAGAAACTCTTCACAAAGAGCCTTGCATTCTTGTCCACTTTAGACAACCACTGATTTTGATTTCGTATAATAACACTAGCTTGCCTAGTGCATTTTTTCTTCCATTACAAAATGGTTTAACAGTGTTATGTGACCCTCCTGATGGGTTACCACCATAAGCCTTAATCAATGTGCCATATCAATGGTGAATCACAGTATACAAGAGTCCAAAGGTAAATATGTTATTACTCATTTTAATGATATTCTAACCTACTTCTCCTTTTTATAAGGTAAAAACTGAGGTAAGCAAAGCATAGTAGAAGATGCATTATCCTAAAGGTATACTCTTACCTATTAAAAGCATACTACGATTATTATAATTGAACATATGAAAGGCATACATCATGATGACTCGAGAATTCTAATATACATACACATTCTTTTAAAAGCGATTTTAATGAGTTTTATCATGTATATGGGTTTCCCTTTCAACTGAATAGGTTATGCACTTCACAAAACTCCTAACGCTAATTTTTAGTTCATAAATCACACTAACGTGACGTAAGGGATTAATTTAACAAACCACTTGACATGGTTTTTAAACACTCCTTGCGCCACACGAGTAAAACCCTGGAGAGAATATATGAAGACATCACAAAGAAAGCAAACAATGTTCGGTGTCATGTTGAATTTCAACCTACGCAATGGATTACAAGACTTTTGTGCAATAGAGGATTTTAATACAACAAGAAATTAGTTCCAACAAGGAAGAAACATCTACTAAAGTGCATACATCCACATCACATTAATCTGAATGCGAGGTCAAATCTTCTTTAAGAGAGAGATGATGATAAATGCATCACAAGGCTCATATAAAAGGAAGATGGAATAACTCTTTCAATTGATCAACACGACCATTCCGTAGAAAAGAAGAACATAATAACAATAGACTTGTGACTACTTTTTGAATGGGATCTTAATGTTGTTTTGTCAACATATCTTGTAGAGATATGATCGGTTGTCTCTTATATTTCTAACGATTTTTGAATCACGTCAATCGGATATTAGGAACTCAAGATACACTAATTAGGATTAATAATTACAGGCTTTATATATATTAATTTCACTTTTAGTCCTTAAATTAATTGAATTTTTTATTTGGTCTTCGCTTTTACCTGAGGTTTCAAATTATTTACTAGATTCAATAATTGGTTTAAAATTATTAAGTTTTAATATTAGAGCCTTCATCTTAGGTTTAATTTCACTTTAGAACTTTAATTTAGGAGAATTTGTAATTTGGTCCTCGTTTTAGCCTGATGTTCCATTTTGATTATTCGAACCAGTAATTTGCTTAGTTTGATTAGGACTAATAATTAAAGCCTAAAAATAGATTCATTTCCCTTTTGGTCCTTAAATTAAGAGATTCTAATTTAGTCATAGCTTAATGCTCGAGATTCCAGTTTAATTATTTTAAGATTTCAGTATTAGAGCCTTCATTTTAGGTTTAATCCATTAATTTCTCTAAATTCATAATTTGACACTTTAGTTCTATGAGAAACTTAATTAATTCACATAGTATATTTAGGTTCAATAATCGGTTGTTTAATTACATATTCTAATTTTAAAATAAGACAATGTTCATTTATTAGGGGTTAATAGTGTATCTTTCACGTATGCCCAAAGGTGAGCACTAGTGATTTTCAAAATAAATCGACATTTTTTTTGAAAATCTTACATCATGATTTCTAAATTATCAAGGTAACGTCTTAATAAAGGATTTGATGCAACTATAGTATATAACATTTATATACATCAATTGTTCTCTATTTTTTCTTTTTTGAGATGAAATCATGATGTGTGGATATTGTTTTGCTTGTGAATATTAGTAAAATAGCCTTCTAATTTATTTAAATTTAATGGGTAAATTTTTACATTTTTTAATATATGAATAAATAGAGTTTTAAAAATAAATAAAGAGATAATGGATCACCTTACATCAACCCTTTTTATTATTATTATTTTTTTCTCTGTAAATTTTTCGTAATACCCAAGGCTTCATGATATTTTGCTCAACATAAAAGAAAATAAAGAGAGCTGAGACACTCGTATACCTTTGATACGACCATGCATCTCCTCAACATGAAAGAGAGCTGAGAAGTGTAACGCACAAATTAAAAATAAATAAAGAGATAATGGATCACCTTGCATCAACCCCTTTTTATGGTTTAAAAACATATGAGATAACTGTTAAAATGCACAAAACAAGAAACCGAGGAAACACGTTACATGATAAGAGCCACCTAATTTAACATAACTAAATGCACAAAGGAACACTCCAAACGAGCATATGCCTTTTCCAAGTCACCATTGTTCTAAAAGCTGTTATTTTATAAAATTTAACTTTTAAAAATATTTACACAATTTTGAGGATCCTTATTCTAATATTTCATAATTTAACATTTCAAATAGTCATACCGTTAAAGGTTGATACAAAACTCGGGAACTTTAAAGATTGATGCCTTCTCGAATATGATTCCAGTTTGTCTTACAATAATACATGATATATTTGTTAGGAGACTTACCAACAAATTAATAAAGTAATATACAATTTCCAAAAAGTTAATGAAGAAATTATAACGCTAAGACAACATAATGCATGCAGAAAGAATTATTTGAGTCAGAAATAATGATTTGAGCCAGTCAAGAAATTGAAAAATAGGTCCAAAATTTTAATACTCTATTCTGTGTAAAAAAATTATTCAAATTAATAAACTAAACTAAATTTAATAAATTCCTCAAAATCTCAATTAATAATAAATTTCTCAAAATAATGGATGTGCATTCCCTGTAGAGTTGAGTTGTAGCTTCTATGAATTTTACAAAAGGCGATAAGCAATACAGAAAGAGGATATTAGTTGTAATTAGTCCAAAATAGAAAAGAAACATTAAACTTGGGACTGGGTGGAGTTCGCCAGACCGGAGCAATAGTGCAACGTTAGGGCGACACTTGAGAGTCCCAGTAGCAAGCTTCAATGGTGACCCTTCCCCTCAAAAAGTAGATTAAATATCCTGTGAGTCATTAGCTCACATATCAGATATTAAACTAATAAGAACAGACAATACACTTGATCATAGCCAAAAGTCCGAGTAAGCTATAACTTCCTATGTTCACGCTTGTTGTATTTATAAGCACCGTCTCCCTTGCGTCCTTTTATACCTCAACCATGTGGGATATTATAGCTTGTCAAATTTAAGCTTCTTCTGGTCAAACACCTACACCTTTGCCGCATAAGGATAGTCTATATGGCAAAAGTTTTTGGTTAGTCACGCTTTATGTCTCCCTGTCTTTGCAGCATATTTACATTTTAGTCACCGATTTCCAATATTTTATTATCATTTCAAATTTGAGGTCCTTATTTTTCTATTTTTCATTTACATGTTCATTTTTAGTTATTTTATTTTATTTTTACTCGTTTTTAATTTATTGTTTTAAACGTTAGATTCGACCTTACGGTGATTCGTCCTAAGGTATGATCCGTATTATTATAGTTTAGGTAAAATTTAATTTTAACTATAAACCAAAGATGTTTAACATTCTAAATTAATTCTACGACCTCGTGATGACCCGTCTCGGGGTATGAATAGTATTCTTTACGGTCCGGGTAAAAATTAAAAACGAACCTACTTTTAATTTTTATCATTTTACATTTTTGTCATTTTAAATTTTTAGTACTTCAATTTCCTGTATTTTAATTTCTGTATTTTAATTTCCAGTAGTTACATTTCAGTCCTAAAATTCTAGTACTTAATTGTCCGTGTTTTTTAAATTGATACCTTACATTCTACTTTCTTTCATTTTAGTCCCATTACACGAGTTATATAATTTCAGTTTTTGGTTTTAATTTAGTAATTTTACTAATTTTTGTTTATGTAATTGTGGATTTATCACTAGTTATCTACTTAGTGTTTTTTAGGTTAGTCCTTAAATTTACTATCCTTCTAATTTAGTCCCTAAACTCAGGTGAATATTCGATTGAGACCTCGTTTTTATGCCTGAGGTTCCATTTTGATTACTCGAACCAATAATTTGCTTAATTTGATTAGGATTAATAATTAGAGGCTTCATATAGATTAATTTCACTTTTAGTCCTTAAATTATTTGAATTTTTATTTGGTCCTTGCTTTAGCCCGAGATTTCGAATTAATTACTCGATTCAATAATTGGCTAAAAATTATTAAGTTTTAGTATAAGAGCCTTCATATTAGGTTTAATTTCACTTTAGTCCTTTAATTTAGAAGAATTTTTTATTTGGTCCTCGTTTTGCCCGAGGTTCCATTTTGATTATTCGAACCAATAATTTGCTTATTTTGATTAGGACTAATGATTAGAGCCTAAATTTAGATTAATGTCCCTTTTAGTCCGTAAATTAAAAGAATTTCTAATTTATTCCTCGATTAATGCTCAATGTTCAATTTTAATTATTTGATCCAGTAAATAGTTAAAATTGGTTAGGTTTCAATATTTGTTCCTTCATTTTAGGTTTAATCCATTAATTTCTCTAAATCCATAATTTGGCAATTTAGTTAGATGGGAAACTTAATTAATTCACATAGTATATTTAGGTTTAATAATAGGCTGTTTAATTACATATTCTAGTTTCAAAATAAGGCAATATTAATGTATCTTTCGCGTATGCCCAAGGGTGACCACTAATGATTTCAACTAGTGATTTTCAAAACCCTACATCATGAGGTCTAAATTATCAAGGTAATGACTTAATAAAGGATTTGAAGCAACTATAGTGTATTAACATTTATATACATCAATTGTTCTCTATTTATTCCTTTTTGGGATGAAATCATGATGTGTGGATATTGCTTTGCTTGTGAATATTAGTAAAATAATCTTCTAATTTATTTTAAATTTAAAGGATAAATTTGTACATTTTTAATATATGAATAAATAGAGTTTTAAAAATAGACTAATGACATACAAGCCGTATTTTTTTTCTGTAAAATTTTCGTAACACCCAGCACTTGGTGTATGTTTTAGCACACGTGTACCTTTGATACGACCAAGCATATGCTCAACATGAAAAAGAGCAGACAAGTGTTACATACAAATTAAAAATAAATAAGGGGATAATGGATTACCTTGCATCAACCCCTTTTTATGCACAAAATAAGAAACCAAGGAAACACTTTACATAATAAGAGCCAAACAATTTAACATAACTAAATGCAAAAAGGAACACTCCAAACTAGCATATGCCTTTTCCAAGTCACCATTGTTCTAATGCTGTTATTTAATACTTCAAATAGTTTTGAAAACACATTTTTGAAAACATATAATATCTAGCTTTTAAAAAACGTTCTAAAGAACGTATATAATAAATAGTTTTGAAATATATATATATATATATATATTTAAATGATTTTTGAAAAGTTATATATATTTACATTATATATTATATTAATATTATTTATATTTATTTATATTTCTGTATATTATATTTATTACTATTTATTTATTTTTTCAGGTCCAATGAAGCCCAAATGAGCCATGCCAGCCTGATCCACCAAAGCAAGCCCGGTTTGGAGGAAAATGGTCCTGAACTAGCCCAATATATTAGGGTTTCGGGAACCCTAGCATTAGCGCCACAAAGTGGCTAACAACCGAAGGGTTACCAACGACCTGAATCTCGTCGGTCGAGATTCACAGCGTTCGAATTGGGACAGCCCGAGACTGCACCATCCTGGGTTTTCTGCAACAACATCGGCCATCCCGATTAAATCGGGAAACTAGGATAAACGACCCCCGAAGCAAACGAAAAACAACCCTGACTAGGGCTATACATGCTTCACCGGGGAGGCCGAAAAATAACAATAATCGGAAAACAACCAAACAACGATAGCGACGAAAGACCCCAACACACAACACAAATAACAATTCAAAAACGGAGGACCCGTAACAACCGAAGAGAGCACCCAACACAAAAAGGAGGCAACAATTGAAGGTTACCAAGAAATAAAGCAATACTCAACGAAATATAGCACAAATCAAGCCAAAGGAAAAAAACAAAGCATCTTGCAAAGCCATGCGGAGGAGCAAACGACCATTCAAAAGACTGAGGGGTCGACCAGAGATAAAAGGTAAAAAATGAGACCTTTTAGTTTAGATCTACGTTGAGGGGGTTTGATTTTGTTACTTTAGGGTTTAGATTTAGGGTCTCGAGGGTGAGACGAGAATTTTAGGGTGTTTCGGGTTCTCCCAGTCACCGGCAGTGGCGGTTGGTGGCCACCGGACTGTGGCCGGCATCGGGATTGATTGAAGAGGAAGGGATAACATTTTCATGAGAGAAAGTTTTTTTGGGTTATAGGTTAGAAATGAGGGTTTTTTGTTATTTTTGGGTATTTATATAGGAGGCTTGGGTGTAAATAATGAATAGTTTAGTTATTTCTATACTCCCTCAAACATTGAAGTATAATTCATTTTGGTCACTCATTATGAATTTACCCTGCAATTTTGAAATCAATTCAATTTAGTCACATCTGTTTTTGGTACTTTTGCGATTTAAACCCCTAACATTTGTTTTTCTCCTTGTAGTTTTTTCAATTAATTCAATTTGTTCCTTGATTTTTCATTCTTTCTAATTTTAAGTGATTTAATTTAAAATTTATTTTATTTACCTTATTTATTTAGTACTTATTTATTTTATTATTTTATTTTAACCCTAATACAAACTTTTTTTATGTTTTTACCAAATCTTTTTATTCTTTTAGGAATAACTGTAAACGGTAAGTATTTGAATTTCGAGGTTTTCTGGATAGACTAAACTACATTGTGTGGTTCATATCTCAGCTGATCGACAAGTGCGACCCAATTTTCTACCTTATTCAAAAAACAATTCTAGAACATGGGATAAGGACTGCCAGATTGCATTCGAGAAAATAAAAGAGTATTTATCTCACACTCTTATCTTAATGTCTCCCATTCCAAGCAAACCTTTATTCATGTATTTGTCTATCTTTGAGAATTCAATGGGATGTGTCTTGGCCAACATGATGAGTCCAGAAGGAAATAGAGATACATTTACTACATGAGCAAGAAATTTATTGATTACGAGGATATATATTCACCTATTGAAAATGTTTGTTGCGCTTTAGTCTGGGCTACACGAAGACTCAAACAATACATGTTGTACCACACCACTTGGTTGATTTCCAAGTTAGATCCACTAAAGTACATGATGGGTGTGTCGTACTCTCTAGAAGGTTAACCCGATGACAGATATTATTATCTATATTTGACATCGAATACGTGAGCCAAAAATCTATAAAGGGAAGTGTCATATATGGCTTCTTGGCAAGTAGAACTGCTGAACAATTATGAGCCACTAGACTTTGACTTCCCATACGAAAACTTGATAGCCATACCTTTAGAAGAAGCAAGTACTTATACATGTGATTATTTGAAAATGCATTTTGATGGTGCATCAAATGCATTAGGACACAACATTGGGGCTATATTGGTTTCACATGAAGGAAATCATTACCCGTTAACTAGAATATTGAACTTTGATTACATTAACAACATGATAGAGTATGAAGCTTGTGTTTGACAAAATATAAAGACCTTACGGGTTTATGGAGATTTTTCCTTAGTAATCTATCAGCTCCGAGGAGTGTGATAGATAAAAAATGTAAAGCTGGTGGAATACAAAAAGTTCATATTTGATCTACTCGAAGAGTTTGATGAAGTCACTTTCCATTTCGTGCCTAGAGAAGAAAATCAAATGGTCGATGCCTTAGCTACCTTGGCCGCAGCATTCAAGGTTGATAGGGAGTCTGACATGATGCCAATTGATGTGCAGTCGTATGAGTACCCGACTAATTGTTATCAAATCAAAGAGGTTAAAGATACCAAACCTTGGTACCACAATATCCTGCAATACATTAAGAATCAAAGCTATCCGAAAGAAGCTACTAAAATTAACAAAAGAATAATCAGAATGATGCTGTCTAGATATGTTCTGGACGGAGAAATCTTATACAAGAAAAGTTATGATCAAGTATTGTTAAGATATGTAGATGCAGAAGAAGCAGAGATGATATTGGAGGAGGTACATGACGGAGTTTGTGGGACTCATACAAAT